AAAAAAAAAAAAAAATATTGGTCTACATTTTTATTTTACCATCCGGAACTCTTTAGTTTCTGACCAACACGAAACCACTTTTTTCCAAAAACTAATTTTTCCAAAAACTAATTGCACAATGACATAAAAACATTAGCAAACATCCGTTTAGATCAGATTCCTCGTAACGATGCCACGATGATCCCTGACAAACATAAAAATCTCACTCGCGAGTAGGTACTCGAAAGCTCCCCCACCCCTGCCCTCGCGCGGATAGTTCTCATCATTTCCAGCGAGATAATCTATCAGCCCAATCAAAAGATTTAATCAGTGTACCCAGCTAATGCACCTCCCTTACGCGATTTCTCATCCTCACCCTTTCCTACACCCCACCGGGTCACACTAACTTTTTTTTCCCCACATCCCTCCACTCTCCGCGGTACTCTAATGGTCCGGAACATAATGATTTCCTTGGTTTCTTTTTTCTCCTCTCTCCACCCTTCTCGCGAGCCCCTTCCCTCCAACTTGTCTTCTTACCTCCAGCTATCCGTATTTGCTTCCCACCACTACCGTAATACTGTATACCCACTCGTCGCTGTCGAGGAAAGAAAAAGGGCCGTGAGAGGGAAGAAAGCTCGCGGTTTATATACTGGCTGGTGGCTCACGAGTCGATCGTTACCACTTAAGGAAAGTGGAATATCTGACCGCAAGCGGATCGTACCTACTTACCCCACTGGCTGCTGTTTGACGCCGCGACCATCTCCCTCCTTCTCGCGTTTTTTTTTTTTTTTTTGTTCTTGACTTCTTTCCTTTTTTTTCGTTCTCCACTCGAAAGTCTCGCGTCAAGAGAGAAGGACACACCGCCCGAGATTCTCCTCTCGTTTGACGCGCGAAGGCCAGCCTCGTTACTCCCCGAAATTTGCATGCACTTGCACAGCCGCACGGCAATTCTCGGATCTCGTCGACTTGCAACTTCTTAAAGCCGATGAGGCTTCATTTTCTTACCCCCGCTTCTCGCACGTCCGAATCACTTGCCAAACTTTTCTTTTTTCTCTCTCTCCTCCCCCCCCCTTCTCTCTCTGTTTTTTTTTTTTTTTTTATCATTGTTCAATATTTGCCTGGAGCATTTCGATTAATTGAAAATTCATACCCTGGGATTGTCAATTTGAGTCTGCATTACCGAATTGGGCAAATCGGCATTGCCGAGAAAGTTCGAAAGGGTCGTTTCAGCGTTGAACAGAGATGGCAATGGCATATTCACGAGTCGCAAAGTTTGATGATCATCCCAATTACAACAGGGAAACACGTGCTGTCGGTGCGTTATATCGAATGAACTTTTGTTTTTCTGCACGACATGAATCAGAGAAAAAAAAAAAAAAAAAAAAAAATCATTTTATTCGTGGGGAAAAAAATAAAATAAAGTAACTAATGACACGTGTCCCGCGTGTGTATCAAAGATAGTGATGTATCATTGGCTTGGAAGGGACACGGGTTTTTTATCCAGTAGCCGCAGCCAGGGATTTTTTTTTAATCCTCTGTAACGGACGGGCGAAACTGAAATCCAATCAAATATTCCTGCCCGGATTTTCCGCGAGCGAGTGTCTCTTGGCTTTCGTTCGTTACCATTCTGTCAATTGTACATTATACCCACTATTCCTCTGATGGACAAATTGTTGAACGTCACTTTTTCGCTATTTAGGTCACCGATTATTCATACGTTTTAGATAAGACACTTACTTCTAATGAACGGTTACGTTGGTTTTTTCAATCCGTCGTAGATGGAGCGTTTGTTAGGTAAACAGGAGCCGCACCCTCGAGGATGATTTTTTCTTCTCTCTTGCTTCTGATTAGCATTTTTATCTTTGAAATGTGCGAAAAAAAAGTTATTTGCGCCTACTACTGGGAAAAATATAAAAACCCTAACAGCTGATAACGATTTTTGAAAAATAAGGTATTATCATGACATTTTGTTTCACATTAATTTTACCATTCAATAGTTACAAATAGATAAATCTGTTTCGTTATTGCATATTATTTGCGCGTAAATTAGAAAATCTATAATTAACTTCTTATGGTCACAAAAGAAAAAAGCAGAAACACGAGAGAAGCACAACGATACAATATGGCGTTGTAATTAATTTCGCTCCCAACATTGAATATTCAATGCACACTTGCAGTATAGACGATTGATCCCGCGAATCGGCGCTTGATTAACCAAATCGGCGAAAAATAAATTAGTTTCCCTCGAATGGCAGGCCGGCGCTTTCTGTTAGAGCCATTCAACACTCGGGAAGGGGAAAAGTCGATTCGAGCGCCCCGTCGAGGACGCCTCGCGCTCTCCACCCACCCAGTAATGAACTTTGTGATTACAATTAAAAGTTTCGAATAGTTTTGCAAGTCTTTCGACCGAAACGAGTACCATTGGGTGAAAAAATAAATGGAACCGATGATAAAGTTTTTCGCCCAATCGTCACCCTCGAACGCGTCAGCGCGATTTCGAAATTCCTTGAAACGTCAATGTTACCCGTGTTACCGGTACTGTAACTTACTCGAGTGATGAAAATTCGAAATTTTCGTTGCGTTCCCAAATGCAAATCGCGATCATCCGCGAAGTTTCTTATCTCCAGTTTTTGTTTGTTGTCGAGGCAAAAAGTGCCGGTCATATCTGGAAATGAAGATTCACCAGCACCAACTTTCCGAAACTGTATATATATTTCATGTTCTTGTGCGTATGCTATACATATATATATATACACACTGGGCACATTGACGTGGATTTATGGCTTAAAAAGTTTAAAGGAAACTTTTGTAAAGTCTCGCCGCGACGCCGGACAGATTTCTCGGTGAATTTTTTGTCCCCCCGATTTGAGTTAATTAAGACAAATGTGCATCACGTGACCCATCGAGAAAAAAAATGAGCACATGTAACTTTGTTTTATGATTCATCGTGTGAAAGTGTATACTATTTGCGATTATTTATCTTATTTGGTCAAATGGAAATAAACTTTTATTTCTTTGGGGGGCAAATAAAATTTCACCGCTGCTTGTACAGCTCCGACACAAATCGAGTCTAGTATCTCTAAAAAAATTGACCCCCGTTGTAAAAGTCTCCTCGAAATGAGGTTCGTTAAAGATCCGTCATTTGCCCACGAAAGAGTAAAAATTACGTGACAAACTCTCCGTTAGCTTAAAATCCATACTTTAGCATACGCTGTGCGTGTACAAACAAAAGGGAGCATCGTAAAATCAGTAAGTGCCTCAACCATCTTAAGGAGCATCGGAATTAATTGTCTCGGGACTTTTCATCGCGTTAAGCGTTGACAATTACGTTAGCTGTTTGCTGTGTGCAATAAAGACCGTGGATGTATATATACGTGCAGCGGAAAGAACACGGGCTTCTCTAAGACGCTCTAAGCAGATGTTTGCGTAGCTTTGCTCTCTAATTAGGGCCGCCGATGAAGTTTGCGCTTCTGCGGATTCAGAGTCGTTAAACGCTTTACGTGTATATATATATATATATATATATACACACATATATATATACACGTGTACGTATAGACAGTCGTTAATTTTATTACGGCGAATCGCAATTNGTATATATACGTGCAGCGGAAAGAACACGGGCTTCTCTAAGACGCTCTAAGCAGATGTTTGCGTAGCTTTGCTCTCTAATTAGGGCCGCCGATGACGTTAGCGAATCTCCGGATTCGGAGGGGTTAAACGCTTTACGTGTATATATATATATATATATATATACACACATATATATATACACGTGTACGTATAGACAGTCGTTAATTTTATTACGGCGAATCGCAATTGACTTGGACGTTTTTGCTAATCGATTCTGCTGTCGATATTTCAAGCGCCGTAATTTCGAAACGAGATGTCGATCGGGCACAACTTTTACGCGGTTTGTCGCCAATATTGTCAATAATCGTGACTCGTTTACGCCATTTGAAATCGTAATTGGGCTGGATGCGGTCACTTCAAATGTTTAAGGGATGTTGGGACTATTCGCTTGAGGCGAAAGTCTCTATTGCGAACGTATGCTTTTCTAAAATTGATCACAAAATATTATTAATCATGATAATATGGATATTTGAACTCTGCAATAATGTACCTACTTATGAATTAGTTAGGCTACAGCATTTTAGTTGATACTTATAAAGCTACCACTTGATGCAAAAATTTTTTTTTACTTATAATAAACTAAGGGTTCACAAATTTTGAAAATAGACTCTCAACTGTTTTTAGATAATTTTTATGTTATCATTAAATCATTATTCTATATTCATGGAAAATTAATGAGCGTATATTTGATTCAATCATATATTTAGTATTAATTTTTTTGATAGTTAAAAGTTTGAGAAATTATAATCACTAATTTTTATCATGTAGAATTTTTCATATTTTACTTAAGGTTGTTTGGTTTGTACACTGTAATTTTTCGATTGTTTGATGCTTTTTGCGAAAGTTTGGGGAACACCAATGACAAGCCTATAAAGAGCTCATTAAAATAAGAAAATTCTTCCGAAAAAAAAAATTCATATGAGAAAAATAATGAGAAAGTTCTTAATTTGCTTATAAGGGTTTGTAAGAATTCTGAATCTTTTTCTAATTTAGTGTACCTATACAGTACCCAAGTGCATTTATAATTTTGACCGAAAATTTCAATTAACTAATAGTTATTTTGTTTTATATTTAATTCAGAATACATAAAACATAAAAACAAATATTTTATCGTCTAAATATGTTATTAGTAATAAACAAGTGTAGCAATCAAACAATGATATAATATTAAGTGTTCTCTTGGATAAAAGTTTTTAAAATAAAAATTTCACTCAAGTAGTCACGTAAATAAAATTTATTTTTTGTTTCTGATTGCAGCGACCATGCCATGACGAAGTAGCTCGAGGCACGCGGCAGCCCAGCAATGATGTGACAATAAAGTTACCTCCTTAATCTGATCTCGGGGGACCTCGAGCCGAGTCCCGGTGTGTCAATCCAGTGCTTCCCGTGAAAACAAAAATTCAACACAACAGTTACAAAAAGGAGAAAACGAAGAAAGAAAATTCGAAGAAACAGAAAAGAAGAGGTCGTCAAAAAAGTGAGAAAACAAGAAGAGGCAAGCGTTAAACGAAGTGGAAATCGAGAACGGAAGCGCAGCCGGCAGCAGCGTAGCGGAGGAAAAATTCCAGAGGACGAGAGAAAAGAAGCAAAAAAAAAAAAAAAAAAAAAGATGAGGCTGTGCGCGTTATCGCAAAGTACGTATAAATGTGTGCGTGTGTCTTAGTTGGGGAACCGCAGTGCCAAAGGTCGCAAGAGCCAAAGCCAAAAGCGCTAAGCGCGCGTACAACGGAGTGTGTCAAAAAAATATACAAGGAAGCGTACACAGCGCGAGTATTCTCAGAGAGCCCGACTGAACGCCGAAGCCAAAGCTCTCGCGCTGCTCCGTACAGCTTCCGACTGATAAAAACGCGCTTCCAAAATCCGCATCGACTGCGGCGTGGGAGAAAAGGAATAAAAGTGCTTCTTTGCGATCCCGAAAACCGCGTGGGCGGAACAGGAGAAGGGGAAAGAGGAGAGGAGAGCCGCAACGACGGGAATCCAGGACAGAAGACTGGCCAGCTAGCCCAAGCTGGTTTTTGAGGGAGAGTAAGGAAAAAAAAGGAAGAAAAAAAAAAGAGACGCAAAGATGGGCAACAAATTGTCGTCGTGCAGTTGCGCGCCCTTAATTAAAAAGGGGTACCATAGGTACGAGGACTCGCCCTGGCAGGCCAACGCCCGGAATCAGCGTGGCGGCAGCGAGCGCAGGGGCGAAACTGGCCACTTGCTCAGGTGCGGAAGCTTAAGAGAGAGGAAGAGGTGCGCATACCATTGACAATCCATTACGAACCATTTCCAACTTTTTTCATTATTATTATTATTATTATTACTCTTAATATTACTTTAATTACTACCGTTATTATCATCATTACTAGTAAATTCACTTTTATTTCTTTTGTTCAGTAATTAAGTGTGCTCGCTCATTTATTAATAACTAGCACTACTTAAGCAATTACATTAGTTATAAAAAATGCCAGCTGTAAAGAGAGACGGGAGGAAAAAGGGATATTGTCTTCCCTC